ACTGTGGAGGACACAAGCAAACCAGGGGCATGTTAGCATAAAATAAACAAACATAACATAATATAATAACAATAACAAACAATTAGAAAACAATATTAACCTAGGGATCTTTTAATTCCAGATTGCAGACAACTGAAAAGTAGGCTACGGATGTGAAGGGCAAGCTTCCGGAACAAAACACCTGGACAGGCCTACATTTATGAACACTGGACGACATCCTTTGTGAGGTGAAATAGAATGGACCAGAATAACGTGGGTTTAATAGAAATTTTAATGGGTTTTATCTCGTTTTACCTTGAAAAGAGAACTAAAGCGTAGATTTTAACACGGACTAACAGAGTGTAGCAGTTTTAACATAATTTAATAAAATATTTGTAAAACATCAAGTCACCTGAAAATGGCCGTCTGGGACCGAAACATGTGTCAAACTGTAAAATTTTGAACAAAAATTGAGATTAAGTGGTGAATAAACAAGTCTTGCAATCTTAAAGCTTAGCGTCCCATAAAGTGCGAGGCGTTTATTACAGCGGCCCTAATATTTTCAAGAATAATCTGCCCCATGCAGTTCTTCAGTTAACCAAATATTACGAAATTTGATTCTGTATGCATAAAAAAAATAACTCTATACATATTCATATTTAGATTTTGAAATTAAAGTGCAAACGCAAGATTTACTCCATCAATAGGCCTGTATACTCCATCTATGCGTGAGTCATCAGTGGTTGGTGACGTAGGTATTTACGTCATCACTGCGAATTCATTAGATTATGTTTTTAACATGTCTCTGATATTGATAAACCGGTGGAAAATTCAGGCATATTTTCAAGGGACTTTAACTCCGAAAGGTTTGTCTACACGAAGTACTGCAAACCGTCGCTAATTCAGTTACACTTAATTCGGATTTCAGATAATAAAAATCGAAATATGAAAAATGGAAAATGCTGTTCACAGTCGAGTACATGACATTTATGACGGCAGATGAGTCATTTGTCTGTTCAGACAAAACTTGACAGTTTTTTCAAACCTGCAATTATTACGTCCAAAAACAAATAGAACTTCTGAGTCTTCTATCGATGAATAAATGTATTGTCTTCTAACAGTTTTTTTTAATAAAGGCTCTACAGTAATGTCTTGTTATTCATTTCGACCGGCAGAAGGTAAAGTTTTCCTTGTGCATAACTAATTAAGAACTACGTCCTGAAGGCGTATTGGAGAATGGAAGTATAGATACATATTGCCTTCTGTTGTCTATTACCGGGGAAACGCTGCTTCGTTGATTCTGCTATTCCTACGCAACGGCTCACTGTTGGGGTTACAGTACCGCTATTGTCGATCCTATTCAACGGCCAGTTCTAGCGTTACTATGGAAGTGACTCCTGGATTCCAAACACGTTACATTATGTTTTTGACATCTGCACTAGTTGGGGGTGAGTGGTCAGCTACACGTCCCGGCCATTTTACCCCCGGAGAAGGAGCCCCAGGTACCCATTGGATAGGTGGCTGGGTGGACCCTAGGGCCAGTCTGGACGATATGAAGAAGAGGAAATTCTTGACCGTACAGAGACCCCACTCCGACCCCTCAATCGTCCAACCCCTAGACAGTCGCTATACCGACTGCACTATCCCGGCTCCTAATTTTCATCAGCATTACTTACATCATTAAACTTTCCATTTATTTGTGTTCTAAGTTTTTTGGGGTGGGGCTTCCTTTTGCTTTACTAAAGTTCCGCCACTAACGCGGATTATCGAGAGTTTACTGCATGACGTAGTTTAGACTTTGCCTTGTTTTTTGCGCACTGACTTCCAACTTGGTGAGGTTCTATAACCCTTCAGACTTGCTAACATCAGCCAAACGGGAAGCCGTGTTGCTTCATTCAAAGTATGTCAATCGTCTGGATCGAATTGCTGGAGCTGCTTCTGGTAGAAAAGGATCTGCTCAGTGTCCCATCTCCTGAACGTAAATTGACCATTTTACTCCGGAAGCGCTCAGCAACATACCGCAATCACGTCTTCAGCTGGGAGTGACATTATCGACTCCGTGGTCAGAATGGTAATAAGATCCGAGATTCTCAATCCTTTTGAATTGTTTTCTATCCCATTCCTCATATAACAAATGAACCGACGTGATCACAAAAGAATCACAAGTAGCTGTCAAGGACACGGTTTCCGAAAAATTGGCTTACACGTTGAAACAGAGATGAAAAATATTTCACAATTTCTTACAGTGTTACCAGGGAAATAGTGGAAAAGTCTGAAGGTCGACAAATTTATTTCGATTTCAAGTAGGTTTGAGACATTTTTTCTCAAAACCCGTTTTTCATTGGGTAAAGGCGGCTATTTCCCAAGGGATAAAGAGGCTGGGGGACGAAACTAACTATTCGTCTCTATTGCTGAAATTAAGAAAGCTTGGAGCTATACCTCCACTGCGTCATACATTTTTACATACAACTAATGAAGTTTATCTTTACTTTCACAGCTACAGAAACAGATCAACAACTGGAGCGTGACACACAAATTTATTATTGTGTGAGTTATTAATACAATACATAAACTTACTCCTAATATCTTTTCTCCTTTTATTTATGTATTTATTTCTTTATGGTTTGTTTAACTACGCTGACAGTATCCGTAATTACATACTATGTATCGGTATGGTGGCTAATGAATAATAAATTGGAAGGGATTTGGAAGGATGTGGTCGTGACCTGGTTTCAAATGCTATCCCGCCATTTGTCTTGGAGAATTGCATTTTTCAGCAAATGCAACAGTATATACACATTTGCAAGGAAGAAAGACGAAGCTGATGGTTTAGAGGGAATATTATTTCTTGCGTCATAATAACCTTATCTATCTCCTGTCACCGACAGAGGCGCTTCTGGTATTTTCCATTTCACAGACACATTTGAGTAAACTATCAGAAGCAAATGCAGGAAACGTGAACAATACGTCGTATTTCTTCTTGAAATGCATTCTTTGGTCAGAGATTTCCCTGCACTTTAGATCCACAATACTTGGAACAGCCGTATTTTGCTTTTACTTCATTTGCGTATCTGATTTCCTGCACTTAAAAGACTTTATCTCTAAATTTAGTGATATGAGTTACGAGGGAGAGTCAGTAAATATGTCATAAATCCAAGTAAAACAGCTGTAATGGACCTACTACGTTTCCTATGAGTATCACTAGGTATTAGCACAGCTCAGTGTAGTATATTATATTATAGTACACTCTTAGAGCTGAATTAATAGAGATATTAAAAAAATATGGAGCGAACGACTGCTACGATGGAATAAGTTTTTGCAAGACAGTGCTACAGAGGACCGGGGGGCCTAAAGACATGTGCCAAGCCCAGTAATCCCACCACTGATGGAACCATCTTTAGATGTCTTGAACCTTAGAAAACTAATCCGGGACTTTCCCTTGATCTCGAGGGAGACGTCAAGTCCCTCCTGCTTGCAGTGTCTGAAGAGGAGAAAGTGCCACTGGGGCTTGGAGAGTCGAGCAGTTCAGGGCCAGAGTGACAGCAGCATTGCCATCATGGAGAAACTAATCTCCAGTCCACATCTCCATGTTCACTTCGCAGAATAAAGAGTGGGGTGACAGGCTGATTTAGAATTTCATCCCTTTCGAGAAAGAATTAAATACTTAGTCGTCATCAACGAAAGGAATTGCAAATTTGAAATTAAAAGAACCACCAGAATGTTTCATTCCTGTTCTTTCTTCAATGTAAAATGTAACGCCCAATAACGGCGTGGAGGCCCATATGGCCGTGAGACGTTGAGGCTCCCACATTTTCTAGATAGTTCATAGATGGAGGTGAGGTCAGTCTTACGCGCCGGCCGCCCTTCACCCTCAGAAAAGTTCCTGGTACTATTTCTTTTAGAGGCCGACTCGACCCCAGGGCCATAGTGCCGTTGGAAGGATTAGGTCAGTTGAAAAATCCAATGACCTCATCGGGAATCGAACCCTCGAATTTCAGGCTTGAAGTATAGAGCCTCAACAACTACGCTACCGCGTGTCCCTTTTTAATATTTCCATATAGTTCTCCCTCTTTGGTATAGAATTCGGTACACATGTGCTGTTCTTCAAAGGTCCATTGTGCTTGTATATTTGAATATGTGCGCGGGGGGGGGAGGTACGTGTGCGCACGCGTGTGTGTATAGAATTATAGGTGGATCAACAACAAGACCTATTTTCACGTCCATAATTTGCACATCTAAATCCCTAATCCAACTCTCTCTGTAAAGAGAAATCCTCGTCCAGCTGTAGTACTGTCTTGAGTATAAAATAAAATGTAAAATTAAGTTCTGACAGTACCCACACGTCACAAGTTATAATTATGGAGAGTAGGTTAGGCCTGGTGTAAGAACATCCTAGTAAACTGTGCTAATAACATTTAATCAATGTAGTTCTGTCTCTGCCGTGTGCAGTAAATATTTTCGGCAAGATCTACACCGTTCATGGCTGCCACAACCTTAGATACAATACGGCGATAATTTCCAAATGTGTTTTCCAACATTATATGTGGATCAAAGCAATGAGCTCTTCATTATAAAATTGACATTTCAGTACAATAGGAAAAGCTGTAAGCTGTAATCACAGTGCGGACAAAAGGCTTAATTCCCCACGTAACAGATTTCCCTGTGTTAAGGTATCGGGGCTGGTACTGATCTATCTATCCATCTATCTATCTGTCTATCTGTCTGTCTATCTATCTGTCTGTCCGTCTATCTATCTACAGACGCCGAGCAGGGCGGACGTGTTTGCCCAGCGCTCCGTGAACAGCCTGTAAATAGTGAAAGTCATAACTCAGAGTGTGCTACGACTTAACTAACTTTTCATAGTTGTGAACGTTCTAAAAATCTTACTACTACATACATTACAAATAAAATAATAAAATAAAAATAACCGTGTGCTAACATGCAATAAGTGAATTAGTGTGAAGCAGCAAGGCTTCCAGAACAACGATCCAACCACCGCAATGAGCGACCGGGAGGACGAAATGGAAGATATACGTCCCAATTGCAACCACAACAACAATAACAACAACAACAACAACAACAACAACAGTACCTGTACTACAACCACGGTAAGGAACATGTCGGCTGATGTGATCACTGAAAACATGAGTACAAGCAACGGTGCCGATAACGGAACCACTACCACCCAGGGCGTACAGCAGACAACTCGTAATACACCACAACAGACTCCCTCTCCACCTACTCCCATCAACACAACACCCAAACACAGTGAAATACCCACCAAATCCACAACATACGCTAGCCAGTCTAACTATACCCCCACACAGAAAATTCGGAGTAATTTTCGAAGCTGTAGATGGCTTCACGATTGAGCAGTACCTTAGGACAATAGCGGACAGTATTGGAGGCAGTAACTTAAAATACGCCTCAAGGCTGAGTGGCGGAAGAATTTGTGCGTATCTTGCCTCAGAGTCTTACGTCCAGGAAATATGTGCTAATGGCGGAATAAACATTAACGACACCTACATTCAGTGCAGGCCGTACATTATAGCAACCAAAAGAGTGGTACTCAGTAATGTTCTCCCCGACATTCCTGATGATTCACTGATACCACTACTGCATAACTTTGGGAAACCTACGTCCCGTCTCACAGCTCTCCATCTCCACAGCCCATCCAGACGTAAAACATATAAAATCCTTCAGAAGGATGGTATACATTGTAATACCTGACATGGAAGACATCCCAGCTACAATCAATGTAGATCACGAAGGGGTAAATTATGTAATTTACGTCACGTGTGATGACACCACCTGCAGCAACTGTCATAAACCAGGCCACGTCGAAAAAATTGCCACACAAAAGCACAGTCAAGGTTAGGCCCCATCACCTCTGCGGACCTGGCAGCAGGAAGAAGAACAACACACCCCAAACCCCCCACTCCACAATCCGCCAGCACAACACCGCCGGACGCCAACGCGAAGAAGCAAGCAAACACCATGGACAACACAACGATTTTCCCTGTACTTACTCCGCCGCGACAGAGACTCTAACCAACGGAAAACAGAAACATAACAACAAAAATGCAGTATAAAGATCACGTTCCCCTCACTTCGAAGCCTCAGGCTCAACAAACTCCCAAGCAGACTGACGAACGGCAACAG